ACAGAGGAACGCCAATCGACGGCACTGGGGAAGGCGACTCGTGAACGAGGCGCTGAGACGCCGCCGCGGCTCTGCTGCCACACGGAAAAATCGCCACACATGGTGGGGCGAAGCACGCGCGCCCCCGCCCACCAAAACGGGCGGCAGATACGGTTTGAAAGTCGAGTAGCGCGCACCGGAAAGTGCAATGCGTGGCTGCGCGCGCGTGGCCGCCGCGGATTTTGGGCGGCACGGGTAGAGTTTGTGCGCTGCGCCCCACTCGCGACGCGCTGCGCACATTCGAGCCGCTATTGAGTGGCTTGTGTTGACACAACGTGCGCACCGCGTTTTCAGAGTCGCAGTGCGTGTGGCGCAGTGTGCGCAAAGTTTGGGTCTCGTTGAAGAGGAATTTTCCCCCCCTGGGCGCAAATTATTTCTTAAGTTCTGCGTGCCCATTTCCAGTACATACACTCCTATTATAAGTGTTATGAATGTGGAATATTTTCAGAAGAATTCACAAAAGAGAAATTTCTCACTTCCGTTTGGTCATATTTTGAAATTCAAATCAATAAACCATTTGTCTTGCACCTCAGCTTGCCTTAATGTTGACTGCTCTGAACCGTGCAGCCCAATGTTTCTCTCAACCCGGTAACGTTCAGAAATTGGAATAAGTTACTTTAAGTTGCATCTGCCATGTGCTCACAGCAAGTTGTTACGCCTATCTGCGTCTTCATGCCATTCACGATGCTCACTTGCACAAATTATTCCTGCTTAAGCTGTAGCGCCATTTGCGTGCCCATGAAAATATTCAAACATAACCATATCCGTGCTTGAAGTTGTCGTTTAGAGGAATCTGCGCTTAGAAGGCCATATCGCTCATGCTTGGGAAGCGCGAGTGCTCCCTTCTCGCCTGGCCCACAAACACCTACCTCATCAATTGCTGCAACTACGCTGGCGGCCGCCGCGAGCAGTTGCTTGCTGGTCAGCGACACGGCTTCGCCACGATTCCTGCCATGACCCTACCGGAATGCATAGCATTCAAGAGATTCTGCAAAACGCGCCACGAAGTGCGCATATTCATAGAATTCTCGCGTGATTGCTATCGTTTCGTAGCTTCGTGACCCTACCGAACAGGCATAACCCTACCCGACTGTGAAAACGCATGTGCCACGAGTGCGCGCAGCGCTGAGCGTTCAATCCGAAAACCCATCAGTGTGGGCGCTCCGCCCGGCTGTCAAAGATGCGCCGTTCACCCTTGCGCCGACGTACCGTACTTTCATGATAGCGAAGGAGCGGGATTTCGAGGACACGGGCCGCGGCCCAGGTCCACAGATGGTGGTATGAACAGTGGTCGAAAAGACAAAATGTCGAACCACAAGTCCACAATTTGCAGCGAGCCCAACAACTCCGACTTAGGCTCGTAATCAAGGCTCTGCTGCTGAAAACGAGCAAGCAACCGCCTCTCATCGCCAACGCCCACAAGCACGCGACAAAACTTGGGGCGCCTCGCGCTGTTCAAACAAAGAGATTCGAACCAGAACTAGCTGGTTGGACGCGCTGCTCAAGGTCACATCGACGTCCTTGGTTCCACAATGTCAGAAGCAATCGGCCTAACACCATCAAACCGGGAGAAGCCCCCAACAGAAGCGAGCTTTCTTCAAGCGTCCAAACTGTTGCCGACACACTAACGTTTCCATTCACTGGTCCCGCCCCCAGCATCATCCAGGGCATGAGCCAGCAAATTGCAAAACTGCCGCCAGAACCTCGGTGCATCGTCACACGACCACAGAACGGTCTTCCATCCATTTTCGACCCACAAAAAAACTGTCCTTCTTGTGGCAAATCTTCGAGTGCACTGCCGCCCAACGTTCCAAATGTGACTAGACTGAAACCAGCACGTGGGCGTTATTTTTTTTTCTTCCTGCACCATGCCAGAGACTTTTCGAAACCACATCCAAAGATCCGTTGGGTCCTCAGTCAGGTTGCTGCATGTGCACGGGCTCAACACTTCGTCCAACGATTTTGGGGGTTTTTGACCAGAATCTGGGTCCCAGATTCTAACACCTAAACCTCCAGCCGATTCGTGAGCCCGAGGCCCGATGTCGAATTGGACCAAGATCAATTCGCATTTAAGACGTGTTTCTTAAAAAATGTCCAACACACAATCAAATATGCGGTCCGCTGATGGGATATTCTGTCATCAGAGCACGATGCCCTATCAACGATCCGACGTTGCAAGAAAATCTGCAGCAGAACATGAGCACGGCGGTCCAGAGCTTCAGTGGTAAAGCATGGCATTGAAAATATCAGACAAACAAGCCATAGACCACATCTGTCATTGACAAATCGGCCCAAATGCACGATGAATTCTCTGTGTTTCTCAGCTTCTTGTCCCGTTGTTTCCACTTCTTTATGTCTTCAATAGCAGGCCACGCCTAGCTGCATGCTGATTTTGCTTCTTCCCCATTACTGGTTGCAGACACCATATCATTGGGGAATGTTTGGGCCTGGACACACAAGAACACATTGGCAGTTGATATGCCTGGCTGTGTACGCGAGAACCGTTGGAATGAATCAACGGCGGTGAGCCCAACACCGCAGTCGATTCGCTGAATCGTTGCGATTCGCAAGTCTACGACCATCAGACCATGAGCATCAATCCGCCGTGCGGCACAATGGCATTCACTTATCCAAAAGGTTTGGAAATCAACTGAAATTTAGCCTCTCGTCTTCCAAGAACGGATGTGTGCCGCGTCCAGAGGGTTCAGCCAATCGCATGACAAAATAATGGAGGTGCTACATGACATCACCGTTTGACACGGCGGCTGAGGTCTCCAGCGGGGGGCGGACTCACGACAGCCTCGACGGGCGGCCGGCCTCACAGAGCAGCTGGCGCACGTCAAGCACCCAAAGACCGACGCTCTTCTTCGAGAGGGGGAGGCCGGCCGCCCATCGAGGCAGCTGCTTGCAAGGTGCGCGATGTGGCTGGGGTCGCTTGCGATTTAGAGCTGGCTGGCCCATAAAAGCGAGAATGATATTGGAGTACCCCCGCGCCTGGATGGTCGGGCTGGGAGGCCGAGAGGCAGGGGGTCGAGGGGGGGATTAAAAAAGAAAAGGAAAAAATGAGGCCGGGGTCAGCCAGCTTGAGGAGGTGTGTCCAAGGGGGTGGGGAAGAGAGGGGGCCTCCCCTTGGTCGGGCAGGAACGAGGCGGTAAGGTAGGGCCCGTAGGACTAGGATGGGGACACACCTCCGAGACGAAGAATAGTAGATTTGCTGTCCGTAGGGGTGTTCGGCCGAGGGGAGCGGCCGTAGGGCTGGATTCGTGCGCGAAATGGGGGCTGGAGCCCCCTGAGGGGCGATGCATTTTGGATACGGATATTCGGCCACAGGCCGAGGGCCCGGTCCACCCACGTGGGTGGGGCACGGGAGACGGTGGATGCAAGGGAAGTATCCAGGTTCCGCCCACGGGCCCGGGGCAGCTACATGCTCCAGGCCGTCTCAGTGGCCAAGGATCACAGACGTGTGTTTTGCGAAAGCAGCACGTGGGGCGACGCCTGCGGATGCAGCGGCGCAGCAGGCCCGTGGGCATTAGTTGGTAGCCCCCTTTCGCGCACTCGCGGTCAGTATAATTGACGTGTCGCGAGAGCGGTTATTAACCATCTTTGTGTGTGTGCGCGTGGGAGGGGGGCTGCAGCTTCCCTCCCACGCGCGAATCAGGTGGAAGGCTCAGTGCATCTGGTAGAGCCGGGGCCGCTTCACATGCCAACGTGCGGGGAGAGATTGGTGGTCAAGAGCAAGGCCGGGTGCACAATGCCGCGTCGTGCATCCCATGTGGAGCGAGGCCGCAATTCTGGCGCCAGGTGGACGCGCCGGGGGAGAAGGCGTGCCATGCAAAGTGACAACTCTCCTCGGCGTTCGATTCGCGGCCACTGCTTGTGCTTGCGACCGGAAAGGCACGTTTGGAGGCTTCGTTCGAACACGACACGACCGTTGAGCGTCGTCTTGTAAAAATTTTGAACACGACATTCCCTTTTGCCCGCAGCTGTTTTTGTGGCTTGGCGGAGATGGGCGGGGGCCACTGCGCCGATTTTGAAGCCGCCTCTACAAATGCGCCTGTCGTATTGCGTCACAGAAAGGAAGCCTGCATGGCGGTGATGGAACAACTGGCGTCAACGCTCATGCGCTGCATTCTCTTCAAATGCCGGACCCAATGCCCACATCGCCTGCATTTGCAGGAATTGAAAGCATCGGAGAAAAGCGCCATATACGGAAAAATAAACTCCCAGTGTTAGCCATCCACCTTTCGATAACCACCGATTCAGCGACGGTGAGCCATCGAGTCGATCCAACCACCAATGAAGCTGTGGGTATGGCTGGACAGAGTTCCCTTAGCTGGGGTACAGCGACTGCCCGTGGCCATGGACCTCACAAGAAATCCTTGACGGACACAATCCGCAGGGAGGCTCTATCCAGCCATCGTCTGGCTCGTGTTTTTGGTTCGACCAATGCACTCAACAGATAGACAGCACGCCCTACATGGCAAACTGACCACACTGCAGGCAGGAGTTAGACATGGCAATGTGTTGCAGATTAAAAAACTACAGCTCAAACCCTTTGCTTCCCTCGCTCACTGCTGTTGCTTACTCTGTACATCTGCTGGCCCACCAGGCCCCAAGTGCCACAGTTCCCAAGCCTGCAGTCAAGGGTCCCATGCTGTGCATATAGGGACAGAATGCACACAAATCCACGACCCGGGCGCCCAAATGGGACTTCACCTATGGCCCATTAACCTTCTGATCATGGTTGCCACATACAACAGTCACAATCCAGGCCGTCACCAAGGTGATCGCACTGCGGCTCCAGAGGATGCTAACTGTTCCCACAGCAGAGTGCCTCCCTCTTGGGCGTGCCAGGCTGCTCGACTCCATACCGCATCAAAACAGCCACGCAGCCCATCGGCAAGGCTGCTGTCAATTGGGGATGTGCACAACTGTCTACCAAACCATTCTGTCGATGTTCCTCATCTCCTTCCTCTGCCACGTCCACGCCCTCGGCCCCGTCCACGGCCAACTGCACAGTCGTCAAAATTCATCAGAACACAATTTCAAGCCAATGCACGGGGCAAGTGTAGGTGCAGTCAGCGATGCCATGCAACAGCCAGTCTGAAACGCCATACTCAAATCGCTTAAGCCCAATCTGGTGGCAGCGATGTGTCTTACACCACTTTCCAAGTGGACCATGTGGAAGCACATATGTCAGCAGTTCTGGTTCACAACCGACAGGCAGTAGTTCTGGTTTACAACCGACAGGCAGTAGTTCTGGCTTACAACTGACAGGTAGTAGTTCTGGTTTACAACCGACAGGCAGTCATGTGAGGTGGATCTGTAAGTAATGTGCAATATAAGTGCTGGTGAGTACAGGTGAATAATAGGGCCATTCCTGTGTTGGGCGATTGCATACGTCATCGCTACTTCCTCTCTATCACCCCCATGCAAATATGTGGGGCAGGCCATTTTGACTGCTTGGCTTTGCCCTGACCTCCGAAATAATATTTGGAACCACCCTGGAAGTTAAGGGACACTGGCATTTTCTATAACATGGTGCCTGTGAGTCATGCCAAGTTCACAGATGTGTATAGGTTAATGCTATCACACAAGCTGAAATGATAGCCAGCTTGTGGGAAGAAGGCAGCGTGGTTTCCCAGCTCAGAATTCACTGTTCAAGGCCATTTTCAGCAGCACATGATGTGTGCATTTCTAAGACCATCAGGAAAATCGCAAAAACGACACAGTGCACAAAGCAAACTGCGAAAGGAACAGCAGCACGGCCCCAGGCCAAATGTATGCATCGTACTGATCAAATCAAACGAAGCTGAACATGCTACATTGATGGGGTTTCACAGAAACTGGTGAGGGGTTTTCTGGGAATGATATGCATCTTTCTAAAGCGCTGAGAGTATCCCAGATCCACTGTGGAGACAGTGCATTGAGAGCATGCATTGGCATACCTGGGCGCTCAGGTCTCTTGGGCCTCTGCTTGGGCTGGTCGATATCCACAAGCAGGGTGTCCAGGTTCAGACTGGGTGGCAGAATGAAGTAACGTATGTTGTTGCCCCTCACGCTGAGATAGTCCATGCTGACAGGGTTCTTGCCCCTGGGAATCAGCTTCACTGCCTTTAGGTGGGTGTTCATCGCAATGTCGACACCTGAAGCCAACAACAGGACACACAGCACATGTGAGAAGGATGGAAGCATGAATGTACTCATCCATGAGCAGATCACTGAACATTGTGGTTATGGCATGGACAAAGAATGACCACCGGTACTCAATTGTTGCGAGGTTTGAATCGTACCCTGCAACCTCACCCCAATGGCCTCTTGAAGGCCCAACCCCCATAGTTCACCAGCATTTCAGGGCTTGAATTGTCAAAAAATATGCAATGCGAACCATTCAGGTATTTCCGAGCAACTGGGTTACCTCATGCAGCCTTGTTGGCAGACTGTCCAGTTTGTTACAGACCAAACAACTGGGCCAGACAATAGAAACACCAAAAATGCCCTCCAGTGTTGAGGGCTAGATAATTTACTAAAGACAGGTCATACCATGGGTGTCCCCTCTCCTGCCAGAATTTTGTCAGCATTTTCCCATGCCATAGAAGGCAATGCAGCCTCCAGGCACAACCAAGCAACTTCTTGAGGTTGCAGGTCACCACTTCGTTTACAGGAAAGCCATTTTTGGGCGCAGGAGTGATTCATGGATTTCTTTCTGGCCATGACGCGGGAGCGGGTTCTGCTGCATCCCATGCCAAATCTCAACCTCAAGCATAGCTTGGGACAGGCAGGACCCATGCCATGCACCAAGCAGCTCCTTATTGAGCAATGGATCGCACGATCCGTTGCTCACATGGATGTGACACCGGAGACTCAGGTGCAACAGGACAGCACACACACACAGTTCACAGAACAGCGACTCACGCTCGGGAAAGGTATAAAGAACAAACCAGCAGTGGGTTAAGGCAAGGTGCAAAGAACAACCACAGTGGGGACCTGCCCCAGTGCATTCATGCTCCAAGAGAATGGAAACCGAAATAACGTGAGTCTCCTCGTGCCACCAGCGGCGTGCTTGGCGCCGCAAAAGCGCGACAATGAGTGATCCTTCGCCTCGCATTCCTTTGGATCCCATTCGAATTCAGTCGATCTTCTCCGCATCGCGTTCGGCCCACCTGTGATGGTACCCGACACAACTGTGCCGTTCTTCAGCTCCACCGTGACCGTCTCTCCCGGAAGTTTCATCAAGAACCTGGATCAGAGTCCGACATGAGCACGGGCGTCAGTCCCTGGCTGGTGGCGCGATTCCTGGCAGCCGTCCCGAAATTCGTGGCATCCAGGCGGCTGGGGCCGTCGAGGGGTCTGCGACGAATTGGCCGTAAGCGGCTCGCACCTAACTAGCTTCACCATGCTTGCTGCAGCGGCGCGCCGTGCCGTGGGCCGCCAGATCCGTGTGCGGCAGCGCGCCTGTGTTCGCTCGCCGACTGCGCGAGTGGGCAGCGCGTTCGAAGGCGGTGGCAATCTAAATCCACGCCAATGTCATTATGTTGACCTTCAAACTCCTGATGCCGTCAATGTGATGTGTGCACTTCCGTGCACTCGCACAGGAGCTCCCGCGCTTCACAGTCCAGCAAAGTTGAACAGGGAACGCCTGCGTGTCAAGTTATAGATCGCAGCCGCTGATTTTCTTGAGCGGGATGGGTACGGTGGCAATATCTACGCCTTGATGTGTGCACTGGGCCTCGCTTCACCTCGGGTGTGCCATTCACGTGACGCTTCCATGACTCCAAACAAGCCCCCGCTCACACTTTCCGCGCAGCCCACACTCTCGCGGTCACAAACGACCATCAGCCCTCCCGGGAGGTCCGACCCGATGTTGTACCGGAACACAATTTCACTGACGAGGGCGTTCCTTGCAACGCTTGCCAACAATTCCCTTGCACTGTGAAAGGCCGAACCGCAGGGGTGCACTCCAGGCACGGGCGCGCTCCGCGCCACCGGCCTCTGAGGAATATGTTGCCAAGTCGATGGGAGCATTACCCAGAAGGCTGCAGCCCAGGTGGCCCCGAGTCAGCCATTGATTAGCGACTTTGAACGCACACACCGCACATGAATGCCCCGACGCCAGTACAGAGGCTCCAGTCCGTTCCAAGGCAGTAGCACCAAGCCAGGAGGCCGGTGTGTGCGAGGCAGCGCCAACCAACCACCGGGCAGAGCAGCCATGAGCACCTCCGCGGCGATGCCCGCCATCCTCGCAGTGCTGGCCATCACCGCCTCCACGGGAGCGGTGCGCCACTCCGCCGTGGTGCCGCACCCCTCGGATGCCTGGGAGCCCGTCGAGGCGCGGGAGCCCGAAGAAGTGTGGGAGGCCGAGCGTGCGCGAGGTCCCGGCTATGTAGAGCTACGTTGGGCAGGCGGTCCCTGCATTGCTCCCCCCGCCGGTCGCTATGGTGCAGGCGCAGAACATGGTGGCTTTGAACGCCGAAAACAGCAAAAGTGGGGTTGGCATCTTAAGCCCCCCTTCTTCTACTACATGCTCTTCCAAATCAAGTGCACCTGCACACCTGGATTCTCGGATACCTTCAACGCCACGAGGAACCCGAATGGGCAGGACACCTTCGCGGGCAGCACCGGGCTGGCGCAGCCCCCACACATCCCGCCCGAGATCAAAAGCGTGGACGAAATGTTTGAGCTCATCGCCAAGGCGGTACACACCGCTCAGACCTACGCGGAGGTGACGTACGGCCGTGACACGGGCGCATCCTTCGACACTTTCATCGATTGGGTACCCGGCAGGGTTGATGACGACAGAAGGTACATCATCCTATTCCTGTACGGAGGGAGCTCCTCGCCGGCCTGGGCAAGGGGCCGGAAAAGATGGCCAGGGGGGCCCATGGGGGCCCGGAGAGGTGCGCATGGGCTGCGAGCGGGCCTGTCGCCTACCGGGCTGAGAGAGAGGCGTTGATGGTCGTTAGTGACCGCGAGGGTTTACTGAAGGCCTTGAGGACGCCCCTAGCTGACGACTTGGTGTTTAGCGGCATATTGAGCCCGACGAGGCGGTCTGGTATGGGTGAGAGAGCGGGGCCGACCTTGGGCAAACGGTGTGAGCAGGTTTGGTATTTACGCCGTAAAAACTGATCCTATTTACGTTTTCACGCGTAAAAATAGTTTTTACGTTTTTACGCGTAAAAATGCAAAAAAAATACGTCAAAACAACGTAAAAAATGCCCGGTGTACATAAGGACAGTACACACAGAATTACGGAATCCGGAGAGTGGCAGCCAGATGCTCTGGAAGGGGCAGAAAACGAGTTTTCGTTAAACGCCATTATCACCCTTGCCAAAGGCGAGGTGGGCATTGTGTTGTGGGTGTGGAGAGTGGTGGAGGACTGATTATAATATGCAACTTTCATCGTGTAACCTGGGTGTCCCAGAGAGCCGTAAGCACGTAAATATGGCAGTGAAAATAGGCCTTTTGCAAATTTGCGTTTTTACGCGTAAAAACGTAAAAGTGAAAAAGTAAACGTAAACGTAAAAACCAAGCCTGGGTGTGGGGGCTTGGAGGGGCGTCACGCCGGGCGCCATGGGAGGCGTCTCGTCAACGGCGCGGCCGAAGTGGAGTGAGATGCGACTGTCAGGCCGGTTGGCGTGCAATGCTAGTGGGCTGGCCGCGAACGGCGGATCACTGACGGGGTTCCGATTGGCGGAGGGGCTTACTGCACGGGCGGGGTCAAGGGGGGGAGCAATTGCCGAACAGGGCGCCGGGCTACATGGCCACCGATCCCAAGGGGAGGGGTGGTCCTCGCTTGCGCACAGATCATGTCGGACGTCCTTCCGAAGTTCGGTATGGTTTCGATCTGCGACGGTGAAGGCAAGAATAGTGGAGATTGCAGTAATTGGGCAGCTGCCTCTTTGACGAGTGCTACAACCAGGCCTGCCACAGCTGCAGCGCGTTGATTGCGCCGTCATCTTCCTGCATCCGAATGCGCACGCTCACACGTGGATGGAAGACGTGCCTGTGCTTCTGAAGGCAGAAGAAATCATCGCTAAAGGCAAGCCCAGGAGATCAGTGGCAGATGTTACGCCCATGTATTGGATAATACCTTCTGACTTACTGCAATGGGTGCTTTGTCGGAATCCTATCCCCTTTTGCCCCCCTTCATGCTCCGCGCATCAACCCTCAATATAAGGGATCTGATGACCAGTACAGAACGCCAGAGTCGTTGCTTTTGAAAGTTTTGCATGGAATATCTTCGGTTTCACACAGAATGTCCTCCTTGAATTGCAGGAATCTGCACATTTTGTAATGTGGGCTATGAACATTGGGGCTCAGACACATCGGGTAATTCCTTCGGGTGTTCCTTTTGGCTTAATGCGTGGCCACGTTCCCGCTGATCTCTAGATCCGTTCCGGTCAATCGCACCGTTGCTAATAGAAAGCGCGGGACGCCAGTTGGGTGCGGTCAGCAGATTTATCGATTCGGGTGCCACAATGCCACACGCAAGTTATGCGCGGCTCCTTAGATAAGCATGTGGACATCACACCATATGCCTATGACTGGAGAGTGTGGTACGAAAAGGAGCGCCGCGACGGAATAGTAACATTACTAATATATTTGGCTCATCAGGTGGCGTTGCTAGTAGGGCAAACGAAAGACGGTCGAACGCAATCCTCCCGAGCCATCACCATCACCATTCATTTCTACATAACGAGGAAAGGGAATGTGAGGAGGCAGTCGTCCTGAATCACATTGTTTCTATATCTCCGCCATGAACACTATCAAATTATGTCGACCACCAATACCACGCCATGCTCCTCACTCTACTCCGCAGCGCAGCATCATTGGCCGCGGCTCCTTCATCTAAATTCTCCCAGATCCCGTTTGCTGTGTTGACTAATGATGTTCAAGCAATAGTTTGCCGGCCACACTTTTGGCGTGAAATAGTTTTGCAGAAAATATGCAATGGTGAGTCACCATACCATGAGCGAGCGCTGCCTCTTCGGTCCGGTCTTTGAGCTCTAGGGCTCAATGCGAGCTCTCAACGAGCTCCAGAGCTATGGAATTAGATCTAACTCCAGAGTTAGATCTAATTACCTTTCACTGGATCTAGTGGAGAAGCAATGCAGCTTGCTCGATTTATAGAATTTGTACACTCTCCCAGCTAGACGAGCAGTTCAGTGACCTAGATGTTCAATATGGCATCAACTGGGCCCCTTGACGGCATGCCAACAATAACATAGATTCCGATAAAAGGTCGGTTCTCGTGTTCCCACGCCGATCGTCAGAAAATTCTAGCTTAAGAAAAGGAGATCATACTCAGACAATCGCGTAACCATATATCGCAGTTATAGCTGGAACGCTGAATGGAGACTCCTTTCTGCGCGCCAATATGATCTATCAAATTGGATGGCCGACTGAGTCGCATTGATGTGTTGCTTCGTTCATCACTATTCATTTTGCAACTTTAGTGAATTACCAGTAATGACGAAGCGGTCAGCAAAGTCAACGTTATTTGCAGCATCAGTGCTGGGAGCCTTGCGCTTAGTGGACCTGGCATGCGCGCACTCACAGTGCAGTTTTGTGATCGCTTGGCTCGCCTAAGAGTGTCTTCGGTCCATCAATATTGATGTTAGTGTACCGTTATAGAAAACTCCCAGGAATGTGTTCGCGATGAAAATGCCCAATGCCGCCTTCACGTTCTCATTAATGCCCACAGTCCGCACAGTCCACTTGCCCTCTGCGCGTCGCACTCCACAAATAAAAAATCAGCCAAAGTACACCGTCCTAAAAATCGTGTACCGTGTTATTAGTGTAAAGATCGTACACCAATCGTGCGCTAATCGCAAAATATATGTCTGCTGCTGGTACACGGTCGAAATCGTGTAAAACCTTGTTATTTATCGCGTTGTCCATGGTGGTAAGGTGGCCCACTTTCGTGTAATACACAGGGCTGGAAAGTACTAAACCATTTTAGCAATCGTGTAAAATCGTGCCAAAGTGCCCGACTTTTGCACGATTTCACACGATTTTTTACACCGTGCAAAATGGTCGAATTTTTGCCATTGCTCGAGCTTTCATCCAGAAAATCGAACATCAAGGTTGATCTTGATGCCAGGACAATATCAAACACAACGCGCAGCGTCCAGAAAAGGGACGTCGACGAACTGCCACCCTCTGCTACGTTTTACCCCGCGCACCCTTAGGAGCATCTCCACACAGTACATGTCCTTTCAAGCGCCGTAAGCCAGTAACAGTGAGCGAAGTGAAAGGTGTTGTCGTGCAGACCGGCTCGTGTGTCGTACGCCACGCCCTCCCTCACGCCCTGCGTCCCTTTCGCACCAGCGTCGCCCTAATCAGAAACTCGTTAACTAGTGCTATGAGCTAGGGCCTACGAACCCCTGCCAGGGGAG